ATCAATTGGACGTAAACAACGCATTCCTACATGGTGATCTTTCTGAGGATGTCTATATGCGTTTACCACAGGGTTTTATCAAAAGGGGTGATACACGTGTTTGCAAACTACACAAATCACTATATGGTCTTAGGCAAGCCTCTCGTAATTGGTACCACAAATTTACTGAAGCATTAGTCAGGATCAATTTTCATCCCTCACGAGCAGATCACTCCCTTTTTATTTTTAAAAAGGGATCAATTAATACTTTTGCTCTAATTTATGTGGACGATGTAATTTTGGCAGGGACTGATCTTGCTCACATCAACTTTGTCAAGAAATATTTAAATGCCAATTTTAGCATCAAAGACTTGGGAAAATTAAAATATTTTCTTGGCATTGAAGTCGCTCGCTCTCCAGAAGGTTTTGTATCAAGTCAACGCAAATACACTCTTGACATCTTAGCCGAATGTGGAACTCTTGCCGGCCGTCCTAGCTTATTTCCAATGGAGCAGAACTTAAAACTCCGCCCTGACGACGGGAGTCCACCAGTAGATGCTTCTACCTATCGCCGATTAATTGGGCGCCTATTATATCTCACTGTCACACGACCAGACATAGTATATTCTGTCAGCCAGCTCAGTCAATTCCTTAGTGCTCCGCGACAAACTCATATGGATGCTGCCATTCGTGTGCTTCGGTATTTAAAGCATACGCCTGATCAGGGCATTTTTCTTTCATCTAATGATGACATCACGTTGACAGGCTTTTGTGACGCCGACTGGGCTGGATGCTCTTTTACTCATCGTTCAAGTACTGGCTATTTTATTACTCTCGGAGCATCACCCATCTCATGGCGAACAAAGAAACAATATGTAGTTTCACGCTCCTCTACTGAAGCAGAATATCGTGCTATGGCAGTCACGATAAGCGAGTTATTATGGTTAAGATGGCTATTACAGGAACTCATGGTCCCTCAAAGGGATCCCACACCACTTTACTGCGACAACCAGGCGGCACGTCACATCGCTCTCAACCCTGTCTTCCATGAGCGAACCAAGCATGTCGAAATGGATTGCTATTTTGTACGCGAGAGAGTCACTAGCAAAGAGATCCAACCACAATACATTTCTACAATGAATCAAGTGGCTGATATATTTACCAAACCACTTGGGGCAGATCGATTTCATTTCTTACGTCGCAAGTTGGGTGTTCGAGACCTGCACACTCCACCTTGAGGGGGAGTATTGAAGTTTAATAGTATTTGTATTGCTTCACATGTATTATTTTTATTTTAATACTATACATGTATATGTATTATTCCACTTACGTAGGAAAGTCTCTTGCATGGGACATGCACTCTCTCCTATCATTGATTGCTTCCTTTCCATGTATTATAAGTATCCGCACATACAATATATTTGAAACGAGGAGAACTTCCCCATTGCCTTTCATTTTTTTCTCATATTATTGATATTATATCATTTATCAATTTTATCAAAAGCAGGTATAGGAGGATATGTCTTTGCTAATTTGTTGTTTTTAAGCAATTGATAAATATTTCTTAGTGTAGTACGTAAACATTGTTTTGGGGAGGGGTTGAATGTTTTAGGTCCATTGGTAACACTAAGATGAATGACCACTCTTCAAGAAGCCATTTTGTGTTTACTCTCAGAATATCTGGTGTTAATGAAGTAAGACGATGTGTTTTTGAGAGAGAGAAGTGACCTTGTCACTTGTCAGGCTAGCCTGACAGGATCCACTGTTCGGCCGCCTCCATTTGAGATGCTTCACGGTGGAATTATTTGATGTAATTTTTTTTTATCATGTTCTTCATGAATTGTAGATTGATGTCAGCTTAAAAATTCAATCGGGAAGTCAGCTAAATAAATTTTTAAAAAACACTACGCTTTTTATACATATTTTGGCACAAATTTTTTCAATAATTTATTAAACAGACTTCCCGATTGAATTTCAAGAGTAAGTTTAGTCATTAGTGGATATACATTCATGAAGAACATGCTCATAAAATTTCATTAAAAAATTCCACTGATAAGCACCTCAAATAAAGGTGGCCGGGTAGCCAATCCTGGCAAACCATCTTAATAGGATCATTCTTCTCTATATAGAGAGAGAGAAAAAGAGAGAACTGATAAATCCGTATTTAGACACGCATTTGATGCGTGTTCTGGTCGGAATTTGATGGTTTTCCTGGCTTTAAGGCGTTGCAAGTCTCAATTTTGGCTCAAGTGTGTTTAGCAGACGTTGGATCGAGTTTCATTGCATTTGGAGTTGATTTGAAGAAGTTAGAGTCCGGCAATCGGCGCTTGAGAGGCATTCAGGAAGGATTTGAAGGCGTTCGAGAAAGATTTGGAAGATTTGGAGGCCACCGGGAGATTCACGACGAAATTCTGGTGAAGAAAGAGCATTTGGATCGACCTTGTAGGCAATCGGGAGCTTTTGGAGCAAGAAACGAAGAAAAATGATGAAGAAAAGACCAGGCACGACCGTGTCTGGAGAAGAATGAGGCGCGGAGCTACTGGCAACCAGACACGATCTTGTCCGGTGCAGGCACGATCGTGTCTGCAATCTTAACGCGCGATTACTCCGTAGACACGATCTCAGGCACGATCGTGCCTGGCATCGCGTCTGGCCCCGATTTTTCCTATTTCAGCTCAAATTCTCCTGTTTTCTATAAATAAGGCCTCCATACCCCTTTTTGAGGGTTACGAACTTTGTGGAGAGGCCTATGGACGAGTTTCACCTGCGTTTTTACGTTGTTTAATCCAAGAACCTGGGATTCTTTGTAAGTTCAATTCTTTAATTAATGACAATTTATTCTATTCATCCCAATTCTGAATTAATGACAATTTATTCTATTCATCTCAATTACTTGACCCCTTTTATGCAACCTCGAGGATCAATATGACCCTTTACTCAATAAATTTTACTGGATGGTTTTCAACTTTCAATAATATTTTCATTTATTGTGCGGTGCTTTGTACTATTGATAGTCTACATTTGTGTGTGTATCCCACAGGTAACAATCATATACTGGATGTTGATAAATAATCTAACTTTTCAAACATTCAATAATTGAATGCACATATAAGTGGGTACATTTCAATTTTTTAAGGGAAATAAACGAACTATAAACCGAACTTATAACGGTCATAGCACTAAAGGTGATATGACCGTTAGGAGCCCAAATAGAGTGTTTTTAATGTGTCTGGACATATATACTCTTCTATAATTTAATGTGTTGCCCAAATAAGCCAACTATAAACCGGACTCACTAAAGGTGATAAACCGGACTTCATTTTTATTACTAAAGTGTTTTTAATGTGTCTGGACATATTTACCCTTCTATAATTTAATGTGTTGCCCAAATAGGAGCCCGTTTGTTTATTTCTTCTACTCTAACTTCTTGTACTAGACAGCTAGACTTCGAAAGAAATACGCAAATCATTCTCCATGAATGATAATATTCCGTTCTTTTCAAGACTAAAACTCTAAAAGCCCTAATTGGGGTTTATATAGGTTACCAAATACTTAAAGTTCAATTATTTTTAGAAACATGTTCTAACTTTTTGAATAATTGAAGGCGGTCTTCTCCCTCGAGGTAGGGCTTCACATTGCCGCCGATCTAACTGTTCGTGCGGATAGGTTTTCCACAACGTCTCTTGTGCATTTGTTGGTGAGCAAGACTAACACAGTCTGGGTTGGAGGGGTTCTTTGTGTTCTAGTCACAGTTGGATCGTTGCTCTGTTTGCTAGAATGTTGAAATCAAGAAAAAACAAATGCATCACAGGGCTTGACAGCAAAGAAGATAACAACTAGCGGCGGTTTTGCTACGAGTGCGGGAGAAGGAGAGTTGAACAGGTTTCGTGTAGGCCAAATTTCGATCGACAATGGAGGATCAATTAGAGTGGTACGGCCTCCTCCTCTAACAAAAAGATCAACAATGGAGGGTGCTAGGGTCCGTAGAAGTTATCCTATTAATTTTTATTATTTTATCATTTGGATTCTTGTTAACATTTATGTTGTTAGGTTTGCCAGTTTGTTTGGAAATTTAGCCTATATTTATGTCATTGGGACTATATGGGTCTATAGGACTAGGGATAGTTGTGTCAAGCCCACTTCGTGTTTAGCAATTCGTGTTGCTCTTTCAAGGGTGACCGTGTCTAAATCTAATCCTAGGGTTACGATCGTAGATTTTGGAGGTTTAGTCGGTGTCAAATATGATTTTCCTTTGATTAATGTAATGATCCTGAAACTAATTATATGAATAGAGGCGAGTTTTCATTTAAAAAAAACTTTCTCAATAACTGAACGTAATCATCTCCATTCCCAATTTCCCACAACTGCAAAAGCAGTACATACTTCAAGACAAAAGACTTGTCATGTACTCATGTACCTAATGTAAGATATACCATCTTTTTTCTTTATAGACTTTCTTTATCTCGAGTATATTTGAAGCAATGCAGAGGGTTGACTAACTTGACAAAGGTTAAGTTCTATTATCACGAATTATCCAAGGCACTTCCATTCTTTTCCTAATAGAGAAGTTACGAGACCCAAGCCATGTAGAAGTGGCGCATACAACACTAGGGTTCCCGACTTTCCAACACTGCCATGAACGGGATGGAACACTACTATGGAATGATCGGGTATGGTCAAGGGCGGAGCCAGTGCACTAAAATACAAACACTTTTTTAAATTTGGGTTGGGCCAAGGCTAGGGTTGCCCCCATAGCTACGCCCCCTGGGTGTGGCACTCATGCTGATTCGCTCGTCGACCAAAGTGTCGGGGTGTGCATCTATTTGGTTAGTAGACACTAACAATATAATGTTTGATCAAGAAAGTAAGCCTTGCCAATTTTCCCTTTGAGGGTATGAATGAAGTAAAGGCTATCTGCGCAGTTAGAAGGAAAGTTGTACCGCATTCTTGTTTCTGAGAGAGGCTCGGCCTGGCAAAACATTCTGCTTTATGCCTCCAGGTTGTTGCCTTGGTTAGTCTGAGAATATCCAAAGCTCATTTTAAAACTCGAGTTCACATGGAACCGCGTGTAGCTTTGTTACCAGCTTTGGCAATATGGACAAATTGAATGTGTTTACATCAACTTCTCAGATTTTTTCACTGGCCCATAGTGAGAAAACAATAGATTCCAAAAACTATGAATCCTGTTTTCATTAAAATCCACAGTAATAATAAATGAAGGGATAATTATTATTAGTTAACCTTGCATTTTCAAAAACCAATTAGTTACCCCCTGAGTTTGGATCATTCCCATTCTTTGTCCCTCACATTAATATTTGTTAAATCAAATTTAATATAACTCTTATATTTAATGAAAATTGTTTATAAAATTAATTTTTAAATTAAAAACACGAATTATTATCATATTTAAAATTCATTATTGTTGATCATTATTTTTCTACTTAGCTACTCAATCGTGAAATAAATATTATTGAGAAAAGTTAATGGAAAATACTCACAAGTACTACGTAAGATATAAAATATCATGAATTTCGATAATCTATTTTAGAAACTTAAATATCATTCAATCTTATAAAACTAATAAACTTTTTACTGTAAAAAAATTGTGAAGATAGAATTATCACAAATTAGTAATAGAGTAAATAAAATATTTAAATAAATCAAAATCTATGTTATTTTAAGTCTTAGATAGATATCTTTCCATTATTTAGCTCTTATACTGATACATTCTTCTATATTTTAGGTCGCTTATTGATGTTTGATCTATCTTTTAGGTCATGAAATGATGAAATTCCTTTTTTCTCGGTATTTCTTCTTTGCTAAACATGAAAAGTGCCTATAATTTTGACAACATATTTTTTAAAGAACTTTCTTTGATGTATCCCATGAATATTACTCGTGAATCTCCCCCTTAACTACTCACAATAATAGTTATTCCACGATCGAGTAACTAAGTAGAAAAATAACAATCAAGACTTATAATTATGATAATAAATTATGTTATACTTTAGAAATTAATTTATAGACAACTTACATTGTATTTAAGAGTTATATTTAATTTAATTTAACAAATATTAACATGAGGGGCATATAGTGAGAATGACCAAAACTCAGGGGGTAACAAATTGAATTTTGAAAATGCAAGGTTGCAATAATAATTAGGACATGAACTCGGGGGCTAATAGTAATTTTCCCATAAATCAAAGCCACACAAACTTTGCGTTAAAAAGATCTCAAGAACTTGCAACAACGTCCCAGCGCCATATAGTTCCATCTTCACAGCAGCTAAGAATGGTGCTGAAGCAATAAAGATGAATAACTAATAAATATTTAAAGATCACTTTCACTTGTAAAATTCTTCTATCGCATTATAAGTAAAAGCTAAAATGATCAAACTCAAATACCTCCCATCAAAGGACACTGCTGTCTGTCTAATTGTAGATTTTGATTGGCTGTGAGATAGCCTGCAAGAATTTACACACGAAAAATTAAATATATATATACATATAGGAATGTAGATCATGAGCCCTAAGGGAGATAGCCTGCAAGAATTTACACACGAAAAATTGAATATATATATACATATAGGAATGTAGACCCATGAGCCCCAAGGGAGATACTTTCCTAATCTCAAAAGAAGGTTGCCATGATCTTCTTTTAGAAAAAACGTAGGTTTCTTCTTGGAGTATTCCATCTTTTGGCCAACCCATATATAGATGTATCATGTATGCCTATCCTATCTAGACTAACGGGCAGGTTTACAGTTCTCAATTCTGCACAAGTTTTTAGACATTCGAGTGATGCAACACTCCAACTAAGCAACTACCATTAGGAAGCTAGAAGCAAAGAACTGCTGCATATAGTGAAGTAACACTCCACAAAACTGACTACATAATTTTTCAAAAGGTCTTAAATGCATGTCAAAGATAAGCCAACTTAATGATACATATTTCTTCAAGAAAATTATAACATTAGTTGACGAACCTGGCAATGAGAGCAGGGGGGGAGGTTTGTAGATCCCATAGGTAGATCTTCCCTTCCCTATTTCCTATTATTGATTGAAATATCAAATAAACAAAAAAAAACAGAGACGTTTATGAAGAAACACGACATTGTTGAAGTATCCCACTTGGGAATTTACTCACATATCTATGACAGGAAACGAGAAACAGGAAAAGTGAGGAACGAAAATTTTATAAAAAATATAGGATACAAAACGTTTTATGTGTCCAATCTTATCTCTCACTCACACACACACATATTAATAGCAAGGTTCATACTCCAACTCTTTGTGTGTTGTTGGGATTAAGTTTAAGCTTAACAGGTAGCAATTAGTTAAATCAGAGTCTATCCATCAACAACTTTCATGCAGAAGAAACAAATAGTGTGATGGAATACCTGTGTTGCACCCCTAAGGTTCGACCGAACAGTGGTTTGCCAGTGGCTAAGCCCACAAAGACTATTCAATAATTTCTAGGATAAGCTCAACCCATGTGGGTCAACAGCCCGCCCAACTTTATCACCTACTAGGGTCTAGGGTATATGGTAAATGTCAAATTGATAAATAATACTTTGATATTACTGACCTATAGCAGCTGCTTTGTATTTGAAATCACATGAGAACTTGATGAACCATATGTCACACTCTGGGACTGGATATTTCTGAAGGATGTCAACTGTACCCTACAAATTGATCATTAAGATTTTCAGTGAAATGAAAAATAAATTCTTCAATAAAGAAGAAAGAAAGCTCAAAACAAAACGAAAAGAAACAGAAAGCCTAACCTCGCCAGGAGAATGCTCCTTCATCTTCGGTTCCCATAATACAATCTCGTTGTCGACACTCTAGAGAAAGAACTCCAGAACATTTATGGACATACACACCCATACAAAACAATGATATAAGTTTGTGCCACCACAAAAGATTATACACATAATAACCCCAAAAGCTACCATGTTAACTAATAGAAATTGATAAAAACCTTTGGTTCTCTTTAAGATGGACACGGTTGCAACTTGCAAACTCACTAACTCAAGGGTATAATTTAGATCACAAAAATGATATGCAAAATGCTAAGGGAAGTTATTTTCCTAGGCTTGTTTTTATCTTGGGAATTGCAAATGAAAACAAAATTTGATTAGTTTTTATAATTAAACAAATATTCAAATTTCTCAGTCTTCTTACCGTAGACAAAATAAAATAATAAAACAAGTAACCAAATATCTAAAATAAATCCATTAGTTTTGGCCTAGTACTATTCCCTCCCTTTTTGTTTCCTTCTTGTTTTGCTCTAGTTTTTCTTTCCTATTATTTTTTATATGTTTTCTCAGGTTTTAAACTGACCCCAAAAGAATGGGATCAATCTAAGTATAAACGAAATCTCAGTTTAATTTTATAATACCTTTGAAAGGATAAAATCACCAAGCCACCTAGTGCAATCAACATAGTTTGTATGGATGGAAGCTATGAACATCTGAATCAATAAAAGGCATGTTGGCAACAAGACATATAAACTTGTTTAACATTAAACGAAAAGGAAATGGCAGAAAAATTCCAACTTCTTACAGGAAACTGTACATATTTTGTAGGGAACTTAGATGGAAGATCGGTCCAAGTAAATGACTTCTCCACATAAGGCCAGAATTCTACAAGGGGCATTCACAAGAGTTCTTCATCACTTTACTTCAACAATTTAAAAGCATTGCACTTTTTCAATAAACCATCAAATCAAATATATCACCTTTCATAGACCAGATCTTAACTGAATTATCCATCCCACAACTAGCAATGCGAAATATATCAGAAGGATGAAAGTCCTACATACACATGACACAATTAAAGTACTTGTCACACTATACAGAAAGTTAAAAATGCATATTGATTATTGAAGGGTGGAAGAGTATTTTCACCACACTGAGGACTTCATTGCGATGGCCACCAGCACCAGCAAATATCAATATGCAAATTCCAGTATGAACATTCCACAGCCGAACTGACTCGTCCTGGCCCACTTGTTTGTCAAACAAAATACCATACACATATAGAGAGAGAGACAGAGAAGTACTCTGGTCCTGCTCTCCGGAGTTCTAAAACAGAAGAGATCAATATTGTTCGCTGGATGCTTGATAAAGTGCACTGCTGAGATTAAGTTTTTCTCTAACATCTTTTTCACTTTAATCCCTCCCTTTCTACCCACTTGATATTTTCTAGTATTTCTACTGTCTCTTTTTAATTTTTATATTATCCCACTACACCTCTTATGGCATTCCTGCTTTTTTCTATCTTTTACAACTCGTCTCTTTCTCACACCAATAAACCTGTAGATCTCCATTTCTCTTGCTATCTTTCTTTTTCCAGTTTTTTCTGTCAGAACAGTTCGGCTAAATTGGTTTTCTAGTGGATTACTTATAATTTGTATAGCCCGTTTGGTAACACTAAAATTGGCTGAATCGCAAATTTTTAAAGTGTTGGCTGAAGTGGTTGGATTGGCCGGTTCTGCTGTTTTATGAAAAAAATACATTTAAATTTATTTTATCAATAAAATAAAGAAAAAATAGTTAAAATGGTTCTCTACAGTAACTTCAGACAATGCAACCACAAATGTAACTCCAAACCTACTTATTTTTATTATTACACAATTTAGCGCATGGAATAAAAAGGTTTGTGTTGGGTGAAAATTTTGGCTGATAGGCCGAAAAACAAGGTCACAAAACGAGCTCGTAATCTATTTTGGTCAAAAATTGGTTACTAGTGGATCACTTAATTTCTATTACTCCCTATAGTAATTGTGTGGAGAGATTTATCAAGTACTTGCAAATATAAGATGCAAAGTAATTAAGTTGTTTTTTCTCAGATATCAAAGTTAAATTTATTTATACTCAATTTTCAATTTATAACAGTTGGACTGTAAAAAAAATCAGTTGGACAAAGTAATACAGAGTACATAGTTCAATAGGAAAGAAAGTGGAATCTCTCAAATAAATAATAAATATATGGTAGATGAGTCAAGATATTATCAAAACATAAATAGAAGTAAATTTTACACAAAAAAGATACATCGGTGCCATCTTCAGAGAATATAAGAAGTACTCCGTATAATTTTACCCAAAAATTATACGTATGTATCATTCTTCCGAGAAGATTTTTCAGAGTTCTAATTTTAAAAAGAAGTGTATAGAAGCAAAAAAAAATCTAAGCTTTTGACATATTAAAATACGGAGTAGTTTTTTTAAGTTGAATAAAAGTAGGCTGTTCAACAATGAAGACGGAGGCCAAAGATGGAGTTGGACTAAGAGGGAGGTCAGGTTCTGTGTAAAACAAAGAAGAGTGATGGAAGTCTAGATAGAGATGTATGGGAGGAAGATATGAACAAAAGATAAAAAGAAATAAAATATCTGTAGAGGGAGAAAATGTCTGCAGTTTTTTTGAACTGTCAGTCATCTTTGTTAATATGGCCCCTATGTTAGATCTAACGGCCTACATTCCTTTTGTTCTATTTTTTGCCTTCTGAACTACCTACCGGAATATTACTCTCTCTCTCTCTCTCTCTCTTTCTCTCTCTCTCTCTCTCTCTCTCTCTCTCTCTCTCTCTCTCTCTCTCTCTATATATATATATATATATATATATATATATATATATATTATAATACTCGTAAAAACTACTCATGATATATATATTTTTGTACAAGAAAATTTTATTAAAAAGAGAGCAAGGAAATTACACGAAACGAAAATAGGAAAAAAGTAGCTGGGGGGGCATGAAAACCAAAACCAACCTAAAGTACAAGTGTACAACATAAATCCCCTAGAGTCCCTAAGAGCTTAATCAAGACTTCCAAGCTCCATACGTGATTGGGATCTAATCCGCGTGACATGAGACTGTTGTTGCTCTTTACGGTAAAGTTTCATTTGAGTGTTTAAATTCTGTGTTAACAGTCTCTCTCTCTCTATCTATAACACACGCACACACACACACACATATATATATTAATAGTGAAATGTGATAAATATCTTAGAGGACGTTTTCTTTCTCCGAAAGGTTAAAAGAGGAACCTATTTGCTTCAATTTACATACAAGAGAAGAAAAGACAAAGAAATTATACTTTGCTTGCAGATACAACAAGTGATGGCTTCAGCGGTTGAGTCCTAATTTCATTTATTGAGTCTCCATGACCAACAAAGCTCTGCACATTTGTCCAAGAGAAATGACCAAGTGTCTATTTGGAACACCAAATAAGATGGAGAAGAAAATACGGAGGAAAATTGAAAGAGAAATGCGGGGAGGAAATAATAAAGAAACTTACCTTCAAAATAAAAAATCAACTTTACATGCATTCGAACTCACTTTTATATTCTTTCAAAAAAAACTCACTTTTATTTAAATATTTGACAAGAAATAAAAAAATATGTAGTTTATAACTTCTACAGTAAACCATTAAACCAAACATTGAAAAGCAAGCATTTTCCTCGGTTTTTTACTTTCCCTACTACACCATTTCCCTCATTTTGGTATAACACTTCCCTTTTTTGTCCGAAAAATTAAGACAACTATAACAGTTTGAACTCCTCTAACTTTTTGTGTTTCACTTCATCCTTTCACCTGTCATTTCATATTTTCCATCTTTTACTGATACTACTTCCTTGAGTTCCTTCTAAAAGGTAACAATTGTAAAATACTAAATATCTCCTTTATTTTTTGAAAAAAAAATGTGCCAAGGCCAAATGTATCTTACATTTTGTGACAAAGGGAGTGCTTACCTAGTACCTACTTCCAAACATAGCTCGAACGAATGGACAAAATTAATAACACTAATGGTATGATTTGTGAAATATCTTAATGTGTTCGTTAATATTATCTAACAATCTAACATATGGATCCTAGATCCTTATATAACAGCATTACGAGTAATATATGTCCAGTTCAATATTTTGTACTTATTATGTAAACAAGAACAGTCGTAAATTTTTCTAAAATAAAATAGAATAGAGCTACGGAATTCATAGAATACCTTGTGTATCTTCTCATTGCCAGAATCAATAACACGGATAATTCCGTTAGATCCTCCCGCAACCAAGAATGGGGTCCCATCAATATTACATGCCCAGCTGACAGTATAAAAGGACTCATCTTTCTAGTCCAAAAAGAGCATTAAAAAGACAAATTATCTGATACATACACAAGAGGATGTATTGGATTGTTATTGTTTCGATGTAGGCTTTTGGAAGGGAGGTTTTTGAATGACCAAGTCTATATATTTAAGATTTAATGAATAATTGAAGGCATCTTTGTGATGTACCAAAAAACTAAAGGTTGAAGAGATAGCATACTAGATGATCATATAATGTTCCTGTCGCCCTAATGGAGTATATTGCCACAACTCCCATGATCCAAAGAGACGGTCAAATCCAGGTGAGACCCAACGCGTTACGGGAAAGCCCACTCACGACTGGGCAGAGTGGACAAGCTTGCCCCTTGGCTCCGATAGACTCTTCGGGTGAGGGCGAGCGGATCAGATCCGTCCCGGGCTCGGCTACAGCTTCCACACTTGGCAATTTTTGGATGTTCTAGTCACACATTCTGAGGAAAACATCACAGTACGCTTACTGACATCACTGGACGCTGATTCCAGAGCTGACATCATCACCCACTGACATCATCTCGGCGTCACACTGACGTCATCAGCATGTTCCCCAAGACAAACAAGGGACCCATGTCATCTTTCTATTAGCTTAGATATTTTAGCTTATAATCCAAGTCATCTACTTTCTATAAATACTACCTTCCTATTTGTGAAAAAGAGGTTCCCAAATTTAGACTTCTACGTCTGCCCTGCCATTTTCAGTATACTCTTTCTCTCTCTAGCCATCTACTTTCCTATACCTGTTACACCTTTTACTCATTTTCCGAAACATTCTATTTTCAAGATATAGAATAAGTCATATAAAGTCCATTCCTTCAAAATCCTCCATCCAAACTAATCACTAATAACCGATACAAAATACTCCACATTTTTACATTAATAAATAAGACTTAGATGACTCAAGTTCCCTACATCTTCATCAATGTAAGACTGCAATACAGCAATGACTCCACCTTCCAAGCATTGGTATACAGTCACCTGAAAAGCAGCCATCAGTTACTTACATATGTACAGCAAATTAAGTAAAGCTTCACCCATGATTATCTATGACCATGAGGTTGGGTAAAATGCATTGATGGTCTCCGAAGTACTGGGATTGGTATAACTAGCCATGTCAGAATATATTTTTGGCAGTTTAGACCAGTGGCTTTCAAAATGTTCAGAATTTAGTCCTGAATCACTACAAAGCATTATTCAAATTGAGGATTCAGTGAAACGGTGGTGATACGAAAACCAAAAAAAATTAACTTTGAAATTGGCTAGAAGAGAAAACATACGATATTATAATGTTGGGATGGAAAGAATGTCCAGAATCCCCTCTGTTAATTCACTACACCAATATAGCAACGAGAACTTAATTTGTGATTACTTTTTGAAGAACACTTTTATAGGAAGAACTCATACAAAATGATGGGCCAGTACAGAGCAGCATATGGAATCCTCATGCTAGAAAAGTGCTAATGTAGTATTCCCACCGTCCCAGCTTACTTCCCACGTCCATATAATTAGCAAATGACACATCAAAATAATACACTATCAACCTCATTATGTCATATACCCAGCAAAATTAATTCTGAAAATATACTCGAATTATTTTATTTAACTATTTTCTAAATAAGCGTGCCATGTAGCCGGGAAGAGATAGTATACTCTAGCAGTAAGGAAGAGGGGCATTACAATTTACAACCGCAGTAAGCCAAAAGAAAATATCACCTATTTTTTTAATTGAAGTCCTGAAGGAGATGGAACTCTAACAGATTTTAAAACATGAACCCAGTTTGTGAAATCTTCGAATTTTACTTTTCGTTTTCTATATTAGTACATTTCCATCCATCTCAGGTTAGTAGAAGTGTTTTTTAAGACAGGAAACTTCTTGAGCTGTGAAAAGAGAGCTGCGAGATAGCGGGAGTTACTCGATTGCCGCCGACGGTAGCGAAGACGTTGAAGTACCGAGAGTCGATGAAGTTGAAAACGACAGCATAAAGGGGACGTTTGCCTTCTTGAAGCCTATTAGTCACCCTGTACTCTTTCTTCTTCGAGGGTGTCAGCGATCCAACAACCGGTTCACAACCTATTGGTGTCCTCGCCATTCCAGCCACCGATCGCCAGCTTAACCTGCTTCGCGGTCCTTGCTATGCTTTCACATGAACAGCACTAGCGCTCTATTTGGGGAAATCTACTACTGCTTCATGTCTCCATCCGCAGCCTCCAAATTAAATTTCATTTTCCCACACGGGTTGGGTCCGGGCGGGTCGGGTCGGGTCGCACCCTAAACTCGTTCGGGTTTTTTAAGTTAAATAGTAGGTCCGGCCCTTGATATTTCAGATCGGGGTTTTCGGATATTTGTAAGTTGGATATTATCGGATATCGGACCGGGTTTCGAATATTTTGGTTATATTAAAAAAAATTATAATTGGATAATTAAAGTGTTTCAATGTCACTTTGACAAAAATTCTACAAACTAGTCAATAAAAATTCAAATTACGCAAATAATTTAATACAAATTGCATAAAATATTACACAAATAATTGAACACAAGTATTAATTTAACATATTCAAAGTACACACTACATAATTTAATATATTTCGAATATTTCGGTTATATTAAAACACATTATAATTGGATATTTAAAGTGTTGGAATGTCACTTTGACAAAAATTGTACACACTAGTGCACTGCACATTCAAAATACAAAAATAATTTAACACAAATTGCACAAATAATTACACAAATAATTGAACACAAGTATTAATTTAACATATTCAAAGTACACACTAAATTATTTAATATATTACGGATATGCAGGCGGGTCGGGTTGGGATTTTACAAACCCTACCCGCCACCCGATCTAGGCCCAATACTAATCGGATTTTTCGGTTTCTGGTTTTTCGAGGTTCGGATATTATCCGAAAAAACTTCGGGTTTTACGGGTCGGTTCGGGTTTTGCTCAGCCCTACCGGCTTGTATCAAAATTAAGTGTGTCGGAGTATATTATCCGAAATAGGACTAAAAAGGTTTGAAAAATTCAATATAGAATTGTCATGTTTTTATTCCCAAAATAGGACCATTTACTGCCATGTTTTTGCAGTACCAGACTTCAAACATGACAGTATTTTCAAAACTTGGCAGTAATTACTCCTATTTTGGGAATAAAATCTTGTCAGTCATATTTTGGAATTTTCAAACTATTTTAGTCCTATTTCGGGAACTTTCCCAATTCTCACTTACACTTTCCTTTTTTGAGCTATTTAAAATATGTGAGCTTTTTTAGCAAATTTTTTAACTATCTATTTTGTTAGGTCAACATCCTTGAATTGGGATGAGATTTGAACTTGTGACCTCCTCTTTGAAAGTGTCACAGTAATATCATCAGACCATAAGGTACTTGGCAAGATATATAAACATTTTTTAAAATAAATCTAACCTTTCTATTTTTCTCATTATATCCTTATATATATATAGGGAACTCTTCCGGTAAGGTATACCTTACCGGAGCCTCCGTGCGGCCTCCACGTTTTGAGGGCCTTCCCGGTGGAATTTTGCGATGACATTTTTTGAGCATGTTCTTCATCAAGTCTAGTACATCCATACCAAATTTGAGCAAAAAATTCAATTGGGAAGGTAGTCAAATGATTTTTGGAAGATAACTGCACCCTTTATATACATATAAAACGCAGTTATCTTCCAAAAATCGTTTGGCTGCCTTCCCGGTTGAATTTTTTGTTGAAATTTGGTGTGGATGTACTAGACTTGATGAAGAACATGCTCAAAAAAGTTCATCCAAAAATTCTACCGGGAAGGCCCTCAAAACGTGGAGGCCGCACGGCGGCTCCGGTAAGGTATACCTTACCGGAAAGATTTCCTATATATATATATATATATATATATATATATATATATATAGAGAGAGAGAGAGAGAGTAATGATCCGGTCAGGAGTTCCTGACCGGAACCGCCGTCCGGACCGCGGCGTTTGGCCGCCTTCCCGGTGGCTTTTTTGATGCAATTTTTATGACATGTTCTCCATCAAGTCTAGTTTATCCACAAAAAAATTCAGCCAAAAACTCAATCGGGAAGGTCGTCAAATGATTTTTGCAAGTTAACTGGTCCGGAAAATACATATTCCGGAGCAGTTAACTTGCAAAAATTATTTGACGACCTTCCCGATTGCGTTTTTGGCTGAATTTTTGTGTGGATAAACTAGTCTTGATGGATAACATGTCATAAAAATTTCATCAAAAAAAGCCACCGGGAAGGTGGCCAAACGCCGCGGTCCGGACGGCGGTTCCGGTCAGGAACTCCTGACCTGAACATGTGTGTGTGTGTGTGTGTGTGTGTGTGTGTGTGTATATATATACGGAGTATCATTTAGGAAAAATGGTTGGAATATATAGTAAGGGGTTTTTCCTTAAATGTTATCGATGACTCTACGATTTGGTGATTCTGTTTTTTGACTTATCAGCCTTATCAGCCAATTTTTTAACCAAACACGTAATTTTTTATTACATGCGTTGAATTGTGTAATAATTAGATAAAGTAACATTGGAGTTACTTTTCTAATTATATTGGCTGGAGTTACCCCTTAGCGTAAATATTGATACCACTGGGGTGTGTGTGTGTGTGTGTGTATCAAGCAATTATACTCCATTATGAGTCATTCACTCTGTGATACGAGAGTCATATTTGAGATAATAGAGAGTTATTCTTCAACTGAAGTAACATTGGAGTTACTTTTCATATAATTTTTCTTTATTGATTGGTATTATTATACCAACTTTTGTCCTTTCATACTCGATTGGATGGATAAGCCGCGCATGTAAATCTAGCAGCTCGCATGTGTAACTCATTTATGTGACGTCAGCCTGGGAGCAGCTATTGTGTAGTGACATAATCTTTAATGGTCTGACACCTTAGTACAAAAATGTCTAAGTTCACGGTCTCTATGTGAGGTCCCAAGCTTCATAGAGGTCGAGCTCAAGTGTTAGCTAAGAGGTGGGGAACCTCATCTCATAATGCGAAACAGTAAAGTCTTTATTGATCTCGAGCTCGTAACACGTTAGTTGGCCTGGAGCTTGACTATATCGCTGGAATTACCCATGACCTCATTGGAGGTCGACCTCGGCCTCTACTGTAGTTTTGAACTTATCTTGAAGATCTGAGAAATTGGATGAGAGATTCTCAAGATATTGAGTGAGACAAACCAACAATCGCAACTGTGCGAGGTAGGATGCAACAGTACCCTTTTTCCTCCCTCCTTGGTTTCATAAAGCCACCTTCTTCTCCAAAACTGAAACTAAGATGTGTTTCTCAGAGGCTCTCTAGAGACGCCTCACTCATTCGAATTGGATAAGTGTAGCTCAAAGAATAGGGGAGACAATTACCTCATGCAGCAGGCCTCTTTCTAGTCCTTTTCCTCCATGTGCAACTCCTTTTCTTAATTACGTCTGTCCCCCTTTCAATTCTAACTTATTTTCTTTTTCTTGCAGGTACTCAAATCACATGGAACACCCCCTCCCCACTAATCCCAAATTAATTTGGGGAGAAGATATCTACGAGTACTTCCAAAAATGGAAGAATGAATCTTATTATTTTGTTCCTTTGTCATGTGATGTCTTTTTGTACTCATTCAAATTTCTTTAGACAAAGTATCGTTTTACATCATATTATTGGTCTTTAATATGTGTAGGATGGTCCCAAAAATTCATATGATGTATAAGTATAGGAGAAGAACCTTGCTCCCTTAATTTAGCTCAATAATGATAAAAATGTGACCATAAGAGTTTATATTTGTCTCTAATTAGGCATGTCAATGGGTCGGGTCTAGACCCGAACCCGACCCGGACCCGGTTATTTTTAGCGGGTATGGGTCTATATTTTATTCCGTTTACCCGGACCCGGATCCGGACCCGTTAGTATATTTAATAAATGGGTCGGGTACGGTACATATGATTCCGACCTGTTAAGGACCCGGACCCATTAAAAAATTCTTATTTGTATACTAACACACTAATACATAAAGTGATTAGTTATAACACTTCAAATAAAAAATACAAACTAACACACACACACAGACAAATATATACATAATAATACATAAAATTATTACTTATAATTCTTCAATTAAAAATATGCGTACTAATACATACCTATCATATGTGTGATAATGATCGAGATAATGTCATAGCATAAAATTAAATAAATACCCATTTTGGCCGTTTATTCATAGTGATTAATATGTATTTGGCTCGGTAAGCAACGCACAATATTCAGTATTATTATTGTTGCTGTTATTATATATTCTTTTTTTGTTATTATATATTCTTATTAATATTATTATATCATTATTATCATACACTCCGTACACTATGTGTTTATACTCTCAATAGTCCAAGACACCTTTTGTAACTTAATTAGAAGTCTACTCTACGAGCTCTATGTACGAGAAAAAGTGACAGAGTGTGGAGTTATATGCAAGAATCAATACCTTATTGGATAAAAGTACTAATATGAGAAACCTTGATATTTTTTTTAAAAAAGTGAAGATATATTTTGCTTTTTAGTTTGCACACTTTTCTTTACATTTCACATACAAGTCTTGTTATTTTCAAAAAATTTACAAGGGTATCATACTTGGCGGGTCTACCCGACCCGGTTCCGAGACCCGTTGGGTCCGGGTTTGGATCCAAAATTTCAGACCCGCCGGGTAAACGGGTCAGGTCTGGGTCCATCATTAACTTAGCGGGTCCGGGTCTGGAACACTACGTTCCGACCCGGACCCGACCCATTGACAGTCCTATCTCTAATGGTTCCCTCACTCCTTTGTTCTTATATGTTGAGGTTTATTCCTTAACCCGAGGGCCCAACACGTTCCTTTGGGCTTCGAATGGATATTTTAGTGATTAAGATGTGTAAGCAAGTAAGATGGGTCGAGATTTTCGTAGCAAGTGGGTCGTATCTTATTAAATGATAATAAGGGTCCGTATACAACACACTTCAACTACTAGCCCTAAGGCCATTCGTCTATCTCAATAAGAAGAGCTAAGATACTTGCTATTTAATCTGCTAAGGATACTAAGTTGTCAACTCTTTACAATGAAATAAATGATACTATTTATACGACTAAGGGGTAGGTAGATTGGCTGATGTGGAGGGCTACGGATGGCTAGGTCCCCAACCACCATTTTTTTTTGCATTAAATGTGCCCACGCC